AGAAGCATTTTTTTTCTTCAATCAGATGCTTTATACACAAGTACATTGTGTAGAAGAAGGAAACTGTGACGTCACTGCTCAAAGCTCATGGTGTGGCAAGCACCACTCTTAAACTCTGCCTCCCTTTCCCTGAAGGGATTCCACTGAACCACTGGAACTCTGAGGAGAGCAGTTTGAAAACTACTGGCCACAATTCAATCCCTTCCCTGTATAAATAAATACATGATGCTCAGATAGGTGAGGTTCAAGGTAGAGCTTAGTGTGGAGTCCATATCTCTTAATTTTCAATCCCTCACCCACCCCACTGGAAAAATAAAATGGTTGCTTGTTCAGTTTACTCAGGAAGGCTTTAAATCTACCATGTAGAATGTTCTGCTATAGTTAGGTTTGAGTTTCAGGAGGGGTAATAAGCAGACCTGTTATTTTCCATCCAGGTGTTTTCTATCACCTGTGGTGGTTGCTACCAGGTTAGCTCAGCGACAGACTACAGGGAGGAAAGATCTAGTCAACCAACTTCTGAGTGAAACCCATCAGCAGCTTAAAAACAGATTATGCCTAAAAATCCTCGTTGTTGGATATTTTTGTGGTTAGTTCCTAATAAAAAAGAGAAACTGACTTTCAAAAAGTTGGAAAATAGACCACTATTTCCCTTCCCCTGTCCCATCCCCTCAACATATTCTCACCCATTTGATAAACAGTTTATGGAGTAGGACATTCTGTTTAATGAGGTTTTCTGTTTCTCAGAATCAAAAGATGGTAGCCCTCAATCCTGACTGTCTATCAAGGACTTTTTTTTTCTTTTAAAGATTTTATTTATTTATTTGAGAGAGAGTAAAAGAGCATGAGACGGGAGAAGGTCAGAGGAAAAGCAGACTCCACATGAAGCTGGGAGCCTGATGCAGGACTCAATCCCAGGACCCTGGGATCATGACCCAGGCCAAAGGCAGTCGCTTAACCAACTGAGCCATCCAGGTACCCTATCAAGGACTTTTAAAGCAGAAAACAAAAGTATGCATATAGTAGTCAGGGCAAGATACACCTGCCCCTCCCTCCCCCTCCCCGAGATTATCACTCAACAGGTTTAAACCACATGAATGTACGAAACTGCGCTAACACACAGGATAGCAGACTAAAAAACACAGTTCCACAGCGACAGTGAAAAAGATGTGGCTTCTCTTCAGGCCAAAAAAGCAAATGCCGCTGCCTTGAAAATGCTGAGCTCTACTTCCTGAACCATGTTGGAGAGTTCTTCGGGATTAACAATCCATTTTTAGGGCTTCTTGCCTATGTACTAACTGCTTATTTTAACTGTCATTTGGCCTCAGCTCTGAAGATGCTCATGTTGCCAGGGGTGGACCCTCTTTCAGAATGTGGGAACTACCTCCGAGCCCCGCCATCCCCCCGCCCCACAGCATCCTCTGCTACTATGCCCGATGCTTTCCTCTAAAAGACATCTCAAAAGCCTGACCCTCTGTTAAATCTGTGTTAGAAGTTTCACCAGTTTTTCAGAGTCCAGAGCCAGATGGAAAGCCCTGGAACCTCAACACAGATCCAAGCCTGTGATCAAAGTATCTGCTCTAGTTATATTGAGCCCCTCGCCTTGCATTCCATTTACTTAGCGAGGACTGATGACCGGAGGTAAATTCTGGAAATAACATTACCCTCAGAAACGTTCTCTAGGAGTTAGATGTCCCCAAAAGAGATAAAGGGTAGGCAAGAAAAACTACCTGGCCTCCAAGCTGGGGTGGAGAAACCTTTACATTTACATACTGTAAAGCATCCATCGCTCGCTCTAATCACAAGATTGAAATCCATAAGGGAGAAGCTCAATTCAACATTCAGAAACCCACAGAGGGAGGCAGCCGGGCCCTACAGAGCCAACAGTTTCATCACAGAGGCTGAAATCAAGGGAGTCAGGCCGACCGTGACCACCAGCTGCGCAGAGAACTGCAAAGCCACAAAGCAGGACCCACTTCTGGCCATGGAGAATCGTTCCAAGACAGTGAGCATGACTGACAGGTGAGCAGGCATAGCTGAGTCTTCTCTGGGCCTGCATCTGTGCTTCTATTCTGCAAGCTGGCTTTAAATCTGACGTTCGGAATCACTGTCTTGGTAACGTGCCTAACTGACTCCCTAGCTGCACGCGTAGGAGGCAGCAGACTGGAAAGGATACAAGGTTTAACCAAGTAGCAGGAGCAAGTGACACGAATCGTTTGAGAACTGTGCACACTGAAAAGTGAATGCCCTTTTTGTAGGGGCAACAATTGCCAAGTCCCAGCCACTACGTCCCATAAAAATTCCCCACTTGTCCAGCAGAAGCTGGATGTCTGGACTTTTTTTTTTTTTTTTTAATATAGGCTCCACACCCAGCATGGAGCCCAATGTGGGGCTTGAACTCATGACCCTGAGATCAAGACCTAAGCTGAGATCAAGAGTCAGATGCTAAACCAACTGAGCCACCCAAGCACTGCTGGATTTTTTTTAATGTGAAATCTCCTACTTTCCAATGTTTGACAAGAAAGAAAAAATGTTATAAAAAATATATAGATAGATAGATAGCCCCAAATGGTTAAAATGGTAAATTTTGTATTATAAATATGAATGAAAAGGGAAAAAATTATAAAATAAAAGGAAACAAAAAGCATGTGGTCTGAATAAAAACCCAACATTCAGTCCTAAGACCTGGAATGAGAGCTACAGACTCCCCATTTTTAGTCTCTGCCCTAACAACAAGGCCTGGTATTCCCTCGCTGCTTTCCCAATACCTCTGTCTCCCCTCTTCCAAAAATGGGTTCATTTCTGGAACTCAGCTCAAGGCCCAGGTCCTGGAATCTGCCACGGGATTGCCCTGGGTACATCTGGAAGACGTGAAAGTAGTTTGGCCCCAGATTCTGCCAAATTGTCAAGATGTTCTGTTCTTTGGTGGCAAGTCAAAATTATTTGCCCATCTAGACTGCTACCAATGTGTCACCATCCCTCAGGGCTCCCAAGGTTGTCCCTGGCTTGGTCAACTTCCACCCAGCCCAGCCTGTCAGGAGAGATGGAGACAGTGTGACACTGGTCACACTGCAGGGGACCAGGCATCACTGACTCTGTCCTGAGAGGAAATAATAATTACAACTTGTGCTTCCTGGCAATGTGCTATGCTCTGGCGCCATGCTAAGTATTTTATGTAAATTATCTCACTTTATGATGCCAATAACCCTGTAAATTAGCATAATTTCATAAGGAACCTGAATGGCAGAGAGCGACACAACTCATTCAAATTTGCACCGCTATTAAGTGGAAGGTCTGAGATTCAAACGGAACTCAGAAGCCCCTTCCTGCTCCACTGTCCTTGTGGGAAAATAGAGAGAAGGGAGAGTGGAGGGTACTTCTGTGCCTTCTGCAGGTGGAAAGGGAAGATCCACTCTTTGGCATTCTTACTCAATTTCACACCACGCTGAAAGTTCACAGTATCGCCACTTTCCAATTTGACAGCGTTCCACATACAGTTACCTGTGGTTTCCAGTTCGGGGGGGATTTTATGGCCAGTAATATTTCAAAATATATTTCAGAAGCAACATAAGGTGGTTGTCAAACTCGTATTTTGCCAAGTAAGGGCACTTTTAACCCTAGCGTTTAGCATCACTACCACTTCATTGAATGAAAACTATTTTAACAGACACACACACACACACCCACACACATGCATATGCACACACGTGACTAGCTCCATGGAACCAGGCACCCTGCTTGGCTTTGCCTTCATTCATGGCTGTGTGTCCAATGCACATGGAGTTCCCAGCCTACAACCATGGTGTTCTAGAAGTTTGCTGGGAAGAGCATTGTTTGGAACTTGGAAAACCGTACTCCACAAAACAAAATGATGCGATTAAAAATGATGGCTAGGTTCCCATTTCACAGGACAGATCTAGAATATCTTGTTTTATTTTAGATATGAGGTAACTGAGGCCCAGAAGCTTAACAATGTCCTTAAATAACATATACTCTTTTGCAAAACTAAGATTAGAAGTGAACTATCCTCATAGCTCCTTCAGTTCTTTTTTCATCACCAAAGACAGTAATACTACACTATAATATTTAACATTATTAGTTCAATAGGCCGGTGGAGAGACAGCTTTGGAAATTCACCACCACTTACAAAAATGGTTCTGAAAAAAACGCCATCGGTAGCACAATGGGAAGATATAAACGTGCTTGTTAACACAGACGCATTCCCTCGTAGTCATGCCTCACCTCCCCAACAACCTTGGCAAGGAAATAAGAGTGTGATCCTCAGAAGTGATCAGAAGTGATTCTGCTCCCATCCCTCAAAAAGAGAGAATCATTTGTCTTTTCATACAGGAAGCTGGCAAATCCATGTGCCTCTGAGTGTGTTTGTACTCTCATCAACACCCAACGGAAAACTGAAATTGGGTCACTAACATGTCACCATGGAATAGTTATTAGCATAATCCTTAATTGGAATCCTGTGTACTGTTCTGTTGGCTTAATATCCTCCCTGTGCTTTAAGGAGAGCCATCGCCTGATTATATCATTTGAGGCTGGGACCCTGCAGAGAAACGTGAATGTGCAAGCCACACAAATGATAAAAGTCAAATATATTATCTCTTCCAGAGAGATAGGAATGAATTTATGAAACTGAAGAAAGTTTCAGTTCAAGGAACAAAGGACTAAGAGTGACCAGAGGTTATAAGAATCTAAACAATGGATTTGTTCATTTTTTTAAAAATATAATGATTAGCTCTGCCTCTCTAATGATGTTACATATATATGCATGTACATACATACACATATATAACATGTTCACACACATGTAGCAGATATAATATGCTGTATATGTGTCTATGACCATGAATGTTATATATAATAACGAGCATTCTATATATATGCTATATTGTATAAAGTACTAGGTATAAAATATAGGTAATACTCAAGAGGATTTAGGAGACCAGCAATCCCGGAAAGGTGTCTAATTATGAAAAGTGGCATCATACTTGAGAACTTCAATTTTCTTCTCCATTTTCCAAGGTTTGCATTTGACAGTAGCAATCATTTGTCTCTTCTCATCTAACTCTGCCTTCAATCTTTCCAATTCCTCTTCATCAATTTCTTCTTCTTCTTCCCTTTAAAAGGGGGGAAAAAATTAAGTTTTGCTTGATTTCCAAACTTAAAAAGACTGCTATCAGATACTCAGTCAATGGGAATCAGCTCGGCTGTAAACAGAGGGCACTAAGATTCGGAAGTGTTAGAGCTTGTATCTGTGTGAACGCTGATACAGAATTTCCAGAATTATTATAACTTTAAACAACAGTGTTTACATTCTGAAGTCCTGAAACTGTTTCACGTCCACAGCCTCAAAGTCTCAGGACTTAAAAAAAAAAAAAAAAATCTGTGGAAGATTAGTTACAGATCTATCAACATATTTTTCTCTCTTCTTTGTTCCCTCTTACATTTTCCTCAACCGCGTCTACATTGCATTGAAAAACGTTCCTTTTTGATAAGGATAGTACATTAGAGGTGAAGATGTCTTTGAAGTGCCCTTACAAATTTGTTAGCCATGTCTCAAGAGAAGGAGAAAAATTGAACTAGGGGGAAATAAAAAATCTATTTCTCAAAGGTAACTTAATCTGTTAATTAAATTCAAAACTTCAGTTGATAAAATTCAACTTGAAATATATTTGGTGGAAGCAAATCCTTTGAAGAGACCTTCAAAGGAATTTAGTTTCTCACTGAGCAAATGAGATGTATCTTTTCTCTTCTATATTCCTGGGACGGCAAAAATACTACGCGGTTCAGAATTCACAAAACAAAACAAAAAAATCTAAACATAATTTTAAATCTAGGAATGCAATGCCCTATTGTCAGGATTGATTGTTGTAGTGATAGATTGGTTTATTTATTAAGTTACTGTCACTCAACTTCAAACTCTCCCTTCTGTAGTTAATATTGTGATGCTGGGGCTGGGACTCTGCGGGGGACCCTTCTGTTTGTGGCTGGCTCAATGGTAGGCCACCAAAAGAAGATACTAAGAAGGGACTTAGGCTGAACCTAGCCTTTCCTTTGGCTTCTCGGGGTGGCAGATCCTCTTTACTAATGCCTCTTCACCCCACAAACCAAGGGGCCTTCCCATAGCTGCAGTAGAATCTGGTTTGCCAACTTTTCCAATACTCCCACAGAACCAGCCAGCTTCACCACCAGCCCCAGAGAGACCAGACGCCTTCAGCATCACCCCCTCCTCAGTGCTTCCAGCCCCTGGCATCCGTCTTCTACGCTTCTAAGTTTAATTTCAACCCTTTTCCACCATTCCACCAGCCTTTGGAGTGTAGCTGCTTCCCATACTTGCGGTCACCATGATACATAAGTGCTCTCTTGTCACCTTTCCAGTAACCTAGTTAACAATTACTTATACCAACTCAACAGTTCTCTAAGTAAATATTTTCTTTCAATTAACTGCTGAAGTTTCTTTCTCCAAACTACATCCTGACTGACAAAGAAATTGTAATCTGACTCAGCATTAGTCAGAAACATACTTTGCTGTTCACTCTACTTGTCCCGACTCCACACAGCGGGACGATGGCAGAGCTGCCTTTGGAAAGTTCCAGCTGAGGCACAGGAAGACAGAGCCATAATCTTACGGCCCACTGTACAAAATAACTTTGCCTCTTCCTTTCTTTCCCAGCAACCCAGCTTTTAATCATGTCATGAAATAAAAACTCACCTTAATTTTCTACAGTAACACTTCCTGTCTACAGTTTGTGTTTTTGACCAATTCAGATATTTGGTTCAGAACAGTTAATTCATGGTAAGGGAACTATGAAGAACACTCTAAAATACAACTCTGATTGCTATTAGGTTGTTTCCCTTTTAATTATTTTATGTTTAGCATATAAAATATTATGGTGCTATACAACTATTACATAAAATACCTCAGGACATTTTTGCAACATCTATATTCACAGTTGTTTGCTTAATTTGCCCATCAGAATAATAATGTATGTGCTGGTTGATCATAAGAGGAAGACATATACTTCAGTAAAAATGATTGTTTTGTCAAATCACTCTGTCGTACACTTGAAACTAACGTAACACTGTCTGTCAATTACACTTCAGTTGAAAGAAAAGATTGTTTTATTAAGATGACTCAAATAATTTTCCTATATAGATAAACTAAACTTAGATTATACAGATAACTGTTTCATTGAAACCTTTATGGAAACCATCAAAAGGAAAAGAAAATATGTCAAGAAACTATTATGAATGGATTCAATTAGAAAAAGAAAAAAAAACCAGAAAAATTTAAGATTGCTTGATATTTTAAGCAGTTGCTTGATATTTTAAGTCTTTAATCTGCCCATCCTTCCAAAAAAAATCACAATACTGTTGACCCTAGAAAAACAAGGGGCCTGGGTACACTGACCACTATGCAGTTGAAAATTCATATAAAACTTTAGACTCTCCCAAAACTTAACGATTAATAGCCTACTATTGACCTAAAGTCTTACTTACTGATGGATGACACAGTTGATTAATACATATTTTGTAGGTTTCATGTATTACATACTGTATTTTTACAATACAGTAAGCTAGAGAAAAGAAAATGATAGAAAATCATAAGGAAGAGAAAATACATTTATAGTACTATACTGTATTTATTAAAAATAATCCATGTTAGGCAAGAATCTGCAATGGGAAAAAGACAGTCTCTTCAACAAATGATGTTGGGGAAACTGGACAGTTTCATGAAAAAGAATGAAACCGGATGACTTTCTTATACAATACATAAAAATGAGCTCAAAATGGATTAAGGACCCAGATGTGAGGCTTGAAACCATAAAAATCCTAAAAGAGAGCACAGGCAGTAATTTCCCTGACATTAGCTGTAGCAACATTTTCTAGCTATGTCTCCTGAGGCAAGGGAAACAAAAGCAAAAATAAACTATTGAGACTACATCAAAATAAAAACCTTCTGCACGGCAAAGGAAACAATCAACAAAACTAAAAGACAACCTATGGAATGGGAGAAGATATTTACAAATGACATAATCTCATAAAGGCTTAGCATTCGAAATATATAAAGAACTTACACAACTCAACACCAAAAAAAAAAAATCCAATTTTTTAAAAAGTGGGCAGAAGACATGAAAAGACATTTCTCCAAAGACATACAGATGGCCAACACACACATGAAAAGATGTTCAACATCACCAGTCATCAGGGAAATGTAAATCAAAACCACAGTGAGATATCACCTCACACCTGTCAGAATGGCTAAAATCAACAACACGAGTAACAAGTGTTGGTGAGGATGTGGAGAAAAATGAACTCTTGTGCACTGTTGGTGGGAATGCAAACTGGTGCAGCCACTGTGGAAAACAGTACGGAGGTTCCTCAAAAAATTAAAAACAGAACTACCATATGATCCAGTAACTCACCCCTGGGTATTTACTCAAAGAATATGAAAACCCTAATTTGAAAAGATATAGCACTCCAGTGTTTATTGCAGCATCATTTACAATGGCCTAATTATGAAAGCAGCCCAAGTATCCATATGGATAAAGAAGATGTAGTACACTGGAATGTTACTGAACAATATGAAAAAAAAAAAAAAAAGAATGAAATCTTGCCATTTGCAGCAACATGGATGGATATAGAGTGTAATGCTAAGTAAAATAAGTCAGAGAAAGAAAAACACCATATGACTTCATTCCTGAATTTATTAAATCTTATGGATTTAAGAACCATAACGAATGAAACCATAAAGAAAAAAAGAGACCAAAAACAGATCCTTAATTCTAGAGAACAAAGTGGTGGTCACCAGAGGGCGGGTGGGTAGGGAGACAGGGGAAAGACCACAGTCATCATGATGAGCACTGAGTCATGCACAGAGTTGGCCAATCGCTATAGTGTACACCTGAAACTAATATAACACTGTATATTAACGATAGTGCAATTAGAATTGTTTTTAAAAAGGAGAAAACAATCCATGTGTATGTGGACCCATGCAGTTGAAAAGCATGTTAAGGGTCAACTGTATCTACATGTATCTTAAAGCTTTATACTTATGAATTTTCATTAAGAATCATATCTAAAACAGTATCCCACTTAATCCAGAGTCATCAAAAGATTTTTTTAAATGATCTATTAGGTATGTGGGTTTACCATATAATTACAGCTTATTTCTTTACATGCCAATTTCCAGAAGCCATCTAATGGAAATCTTCCTAACACTAATTATATGCTTTCTTGCTATCTCAAATCCAGTACTTTATGTGTTTAACCCCTTCTATGATTCCTTAAAACATGCGAAATCTCTTCGATAACCCCCTTTTCTGATTATCCATATATCTATCACCCCATACAACAAAGAGTTTTGTCTCCTCTAAGACTCTGAACAACTTCGTCCTTCTTCTCTGGCACATTTATACTGTCTTTCTTCACAATAATTTGTGTCTAAGTGGCCCCCTCCCTTGCTCTATTATGAACTCCTAGAGAATATAGTCAATTGCATATTCATACCCATGTCTTCCAAAGAAATTAGCTTCCACAGCAGTGGAGCTGGGTAAATACTAATTACATAAATGTTTATATACAGAGTCTTTCTGGATGACAGGGTTATCATCATAAATCCAGGGCTCAAAGTCCACTAAAATAGAATACTGTCCTCCAAGATTAGTATGGTATGGAAAGATAAGAATAAATCCTTACACTAAATAACCCCAGATGGGTATATTTTTAAAGTCTTTGTTGTTAATTGCTCCAGACAGATAATGTTTTGCTACCAGATATAGTTGTTTTCCTATCTTTTTTTCCTATCTTTTCCTATCTTTCCTATCTTTTTCCTATCTTCAGATAGGCGGGTAATTAAAATATTATTTTCACCAGTATATAAGGGAACTGCTTTTCTAGGAATCACTCAAAGAAAAAGTGCTAATCATGTTAAAAGAATATCATATAGATATGCTTCATCTTCAAAAATGTAGGGCTAATCTGTGCAAGAATGGCTTTCTATGTTAAGTTTGATTTATTTAAACAACAGTTGTTAGGGGGGAAAAAAGGCATAATGTGTTGAATTGCTCACTGCTATGAGCATATTTCTTATTCACTTAAAACTGGGTCAGGAAAAGCCTGTCATATTATTAGAAATCCTCCAAAATGTATAACGAGGCAGAGTTTTTTAACTCTCTCCAAAGATAGTTAGCATTACAACCTTGGTTTTAGTTGGCTTCAAATGTTTTGTCAGTACAGGGGAAATTCCCTGAGGTGTTTCACTTGAATGTTTAAGTTTAAAAAGACCATAAATCAATTAATCTAAATAAATGTGCCCTGATTTGCCTACAAATCTTTTTTCAAAATATATTTGCTGATACATCTTCTTAAAAAAACAAAAAACAAAAAAACTTATTTTCAAAATGAACACAGAAAATGAGTTATCAGTCATCACAAATAATTTATGATACTATTTAGATTAGTTGCCCAAATTATAACACTATTTATAGAATCTGAAAAACCTTTGGAGACAAAGTTCACTTTAGCCAAATTTGGCTGTGTGGAGAAGTGAAGAGGACAGGTGACAAGGGTGCTTGTGGGATTCTCAGAAAGAGGATGAGAGTGGTACCTGCTAAGGGCAGGCACTGTCACTAAGACAATGTTCCCTCAGGCACTAGGGGAGACTCAGTTGATTCTATGATCCTATTTCTAGGGGGCGTTGAGCAGTTCTCATGAGATTCTTAAGCACACCAAGAGAGCACAGAAATTTTCACCCAACTCAACTTTTTAAAAGGACCTCTCTGAGACACAAGTGGAGAATAAAAGCAAATTCTGGAACACATCATGCACACTTCTATTGATGAAAGAGCACAGGTTTTGCTAATAGGAAATATTACTACATCATAATATTGACATCAATGAGTCTAAAAAGTGTGAGATGATTTCTTTTTCTTTTTTTTTTTTTTTTTTAAAGAAAACAGCATAAGAAGACTTAAAAAGAAAACAGAAAAAAGAATACCAGAGTCAAAATTTGAAGAAGGTGGTGCCTTGGTATTCAAAGATGGAAGAAAAGAGCTTGGGAGGAGGAGAGAAAGGAAGAAGCGGAGGGAGATTTAAAAATCGCAATCAACAAAAATATGAGGAAGAAGTAGGCGGGGTAATTCCTATACTTTAAAAGGAACCATCATCTATCAATGCTAAGCTTCTCTATTTGCCAAAATTGTCATACAATTGTATTTAATTACAATGATTTATGAAAAGGAAAAGCTAGTTGTTAGACACTCATGTGTCACTTGGGGAGGACATCTTAGAAAGTTCCTCTCCATCCAAAGTCCTCGTTCGCAGTGTTTTGGAGGAGATCCCCTCACCCCGTGGTGGCTCCCATGGCCCTACTACCCAGGGAATGACAGAGTAGCTGTTCTCATAAAGCCTTTCGCAGGGGTCTAGGTTTTCTATTATTCGATGTGTGTCACATGCACACTTTTCTTACTGGCCTGCCATCTGCAAATTTCCCGAAAGCCAAAACTTGAAAATTATTTAATGTATTATTTTATACAAAGTCAGCACTCAGTGAAGTGTTTGCCTAGTGGAAATGATGTATGTATGGTTGTGACAAAAAGGGAAGGACAACACCAATATTCCATTAACATGGGCCAGCACACTTTTTCTTTCCTGTAAAAGAACGCATAATTAATATTATTAGGCTTTGAGAGCCACATGCAGCTCTATCCCTTATTTGTCTTTGGATTTTGTTCTTGGTTGGTTTTTGTTTTTATTTTTTATTTTTTTTAAATCAACAACACTTTAAAACTGTAAGAACCCACTCTTTGTTGTTGGGCTGGAATTAGCCATATTTTGCCAAACATTGTTCTATAAGGTAAAGTGATTTGGGCTCATTTTTTAGGAATTTTCCACTCATCTTTGGTAACAATGCATATCATTAAAGGAATGACTTCAAAATATTTCAATGAACTAATATATTAATAATCTATGACAGTTTTGACCTCTCATAAGGAAATGTTTTAGCCCATCCTTAATACATATATTCATTTTTTAAATTCTATTTAAATTTTAAAATACATTTAACTAAGTGGAGTAAAATGGCAGCCTTAGATTAAATGTGTCATCTTCTTAAACGTTGTTTTTAATTACCAGTTTTAAGACTGCAGAGTACCTAAAGGGAGTGGTCTTCTCTCAGAGGCATTTTTGAATGAATCAAGTTTCAGTTACATATCAGAGCTGACTTACGCTCCTCTCTTCAGCCTCCTTCTTCTCTCCTTCTCTCTGGCCTTCCTTGTTTCTTCATCCTCTGGTTCAGGTTCTGGGTCATCCTCATTGATAACATCTCTGGTCCGTTTCCTCTTTGGTCTCAAGCTCTCCCTTCGAGGTAGTTTATCTTTCTCCTCTTCTTCCTCCTCACCTAAACACAGCAGTGAGTGCTTAGATGAGCGATATCACAAAGTTCTCTCTCCTGTTGCCAAATGTACACTTAGTGTCTTAATGACCACTGTCACACATGAGATCACAATCCAGCAGGTCTCCCCATCATGAGAAGATATACCAGACCATATGCATATTTCATAGCCTGCCATTTAAATACTCTTATCTAGAATCTCATTACTTTTGTGGTTCATCTACTCAAATATGTGAATGTGGATCCCCCAATTTTTTTTAAAAAGGAGTTGATTTTTTTTTTCTAAAGATTTTATTCATTTCTTTGACAGAGACAGATCAGAAGTAGGCAGAGAGGAAGGCAGAGAGAGGAGGAAGCAGGCTCCCCACCGAGCAGAGAGCCCGATGCGGAACTCGATCCCAGGACCCTGAGATCATGACCTGAGCTGAAGGCAGAGGCTTTAACCCAATGAGCCACCCAGGCGCCCCTGTGGATCCCCAAATTTTAATAATTCTTAGAAATCCAGTCTTCTTTTACATGGGTTGCTAGATGACATACAGTTTTAATATCATACCATAACGTCTAAGACCAGGTTTAGAGTTTACTGATCTAATACTTAAGGATTAAGTGATTAGCTACTATATGTTTACTACTACTTCTATCTTAGAACAAAGGACAGGAAAGACAAGAAGATGCAACAAACTAGAATAATTTTGAAGAAACTCACTCAGCCCTTAAGATTTCTCCTAATTCAAATTATCTTTATTCTTGATTCCAAGATTGTTCTTTTTCCTAAATATTTTTCCCTTTCTTAAATGAAAGTGATACTAAATATATTTACATAAGTACTTGCTTGAGCATAGTATCTTTATGACTAGAAATAGATAACATATAAATTTAATGTAAAACAGAGAGAAATGGAATTTTATTTTATTCATCAACTCATAATTAATGCCTCATCTGTCCGTAACTTCACTGGAATCTTCCAGATAGAGTACAGGAAGAATCTAGTTCCTTCACAGTTTATAACATATAATCTTACTTCACTTTCATTTTTGTGCATCTTCTGGTATTTAGAATAACCTATTATTAAAAAATCAACTCATAGTTATCACTATCCTTCTAAACAAGCTATTAGAGGGAAAAACTGTACTTTAGTGGAAAACTATGAATTGTCCACAGTGTACCCTTTTGTACTATCTGATTCTGATTCCATGGGAGCTAGTTTCTAATTTTGAAAGTTATAGATTGCTAAACAGCAATGCAAAATAATTCTTGTCTGTAGACATGTACATGAACTCAGTGCAGTAGAGAGACAATCTTTCCTCACCAGAAAAAAAAATACTAGGGGCGCCTGGGTGGCTCAGTGGGTTAAGTCTCTGCCTTCAGCTCAGATCATGATCCCAGGGTCTGGGATGGAGCCCCACATCGGGCTCTCTGCTCAGCAGGGGGCCTGCTCCCTCCTTTCTCTCTGCCTGCCTCTCTGCCTACTTGTGATCTCTCTCTCTCTCTCTCTTTCTGTCAAATAAATAAATAAAATCTTAAAAAAAAAAGAAAAGAAAAAAAAATCCCAGAGAACAGACATGCTTACATCTGTACAACCATTTCAATATCCCTGATCTATAAATATCTGTTTCTTTGGATTTTCCTTTGAACGGATTAGAATACCTCACTAGAGTCCTTAGCTGTTCATTAAATATGTTCATTCTTACATGTGTGTTGTGGATTTTTATTTTTTAATCTTTTTAAATTTTTTGTTTTTCACTTTTATCTGAGGGAGGGCCTGAGCAAAGGGAGAGAGAAAATCTTAAGCAGGCTCCACACCCAGCACAGATCCCACCTGGGTTCCCTCTCATGACCTTGAGATCATGACCTGAGTCAAAAATCAGAGTCAGATGCTTACCTGACTGAGCCATCCAGGCACCCCTAATTATATTTTACATTACTTACTGAAATACTTTTATTGATATTCCAAATCTGAGATCCAAATGTTATCTGTAGGACTAAAGTTCGGCTAGCAGAGAAAAGCAGAAGGTTAACTTTCAAACTAGGCTTTGAGAACTATACACTGTCATCAAAACCAAGAAATATTTGTTAAATATGTTAAATATGCGGCATTATTGCATGTTATGTGAACCCCGTCTGCTATTCTGAAAATGTGCCCAGTCTTTATTAGTCACATGTGTCACCATTTAGAGAAAGGACAAGCCCTTGATAAGGACTAAGGAACAATTTTCCCACAAATATTCGCAAGCACTCAAGCAGCCACTTAGGACTCTGCATTTTAGGATATTTTGTATTAAGACTAAACTATTAAACTTGTAGTTTTGCCATGGATGAGAAGTGTCTCAGATTTCTCTTTTACCACTTGGCAACAAAAAGGCTATTCTTAGTGACTTCACTAGTTTCCAAATACCCAAATTCTAAAACAAATAATCAATATTTTACAGTTGCTGACTAAATACAGATCTGCATGCAGTTTTATCCTCTGGAATGGTCTCCGTTCAATATGGAAGAGTAGCAAAATATGCCACCTCAAAATATGACAGCACGAGCTCAGGACATACCACCCCAAATCGTGCCACTTTGGTATGCTGGTTATATCCCACAGTAGGCACTTGATAAACAGCAAATGACTTGAGAGGTTTTTCCTGAACTCCCTTCCTCTGCCCCAAACACAGATCCTCTGAGAGGAACTGAACTGTCATAAACTCCCTGACCAAGAATTTCACCCTTAGGGAAGATTGACTCATCACAAGGGAAGACACTAGAAGGCAATACCACACCCAGACAAACTTTGTCACCATTGTGTCTCCCATGTAGTCTCTGAAGGGCCCACTCACCATTCCTAAAAATTATTTATTCTCTCAAGCCTACACAACCCCCTCTTTGTTCCTTGTTAAGACGGCATTTAAGACTAAATTCGAAGCCACCTAAGAGAGTTAACTTATTTTTCCTGTGTATCTCTCACATATACCTGAGGTATACATATTAATAAACTTCCATTTGTTTTTTCTCTTGCTAAACTGTCTTATATTACAGTGGTCTCAGCTAACAACTCAGAAGGACTAGAGGAAAATTATTTTCCTCTCCTCTAGTACTCAAACCATGACAAGCAGAGTCTGTGTGACTCTGAGCTCTTTGTATGTAAAATGTCCTGAATGACTGGAAACACCTGGCATCATGAACATTCCCCGGCTGCCATATTGGGCCCAGGGTATTACATTGGATGGTGCTGATCTATCCTCTAATGGATACAGCTCTTCCTTTCAGTTCTAGTTAATTCAGAATTTTTGCTCATATAATGATCTTTCCCATGAGTGGTCTGTATGTGAGGGATCATACTCCAAACTCTTTAGCTAAACCTACACAAAGTAAAGACAACAGAGCAATTCCAACAAAATACCCATGAAGTCAGCATAAAAGAATGTGCTTTTTCATTTTAATTGAACCACCTGGTCAATTCAGTCAAAATGGCCAATCTGTTCTATTATAATAGATTGAACCCTAGAGAAGAGCTTTTAGGACAAAGACCTTAACAGGGAAACTATTAGAGAAATATCAAGTGGACTACCATACACTTGATCATGAGTAACTGAGACATTGGGTAGAATGTGTACGTGTCTACTGAATGGAATCTAGAATGGAGAGATTCCATTTGCTGGACTTGACCTCTTTTCTGAGAACATCAAAAGTTTCCCACACACGTGGTAGCGTGGGTTTACATGTGGCAGCATATCCCACAAGATAAGAGTCCCCTGAATTCACTGCAATTCCACAGGAAACATACTCCACGTGGGTCCCACCCCACTTACTTGAACTTTCATCTGTGTCATCTTCTTTTTCTTCCACTTGAATTTGCACTGTTGAAGAAAGGAAAAATACGGCAATTCTTTAAATGACAGTACAATGATCAGTAATGGGTTTTTACTGTTATGATTTTCATCATAAAGTTTTCTGTGCTGTTAATGCAAACATTTTCCAACAAGCTTGTCAAAAACAGCATTGTTTATTAAAGATATATGGCCACAGCATCCTAGACAGTGTTTTGCAAAGACGTCTCCGCTCCACTGCCTTCAAAGACTTGGAAAACATATCAATTATGAGCCTGTCAGCTCAACTGACTATAACTGCTACCGCAATAAATTCCGTGTTGCAGTGAGTAGACTTGGGGTTTGCTGGGTCATTGCATTCCACGATAAACTGCATTGTTAGTAAAGCTATATCCACATGCACAAACAATGTGGTTATTAGAACCAAATTAATTTATTAAAATAGAGAACATTTCATTCTAACCAGTTACCAGTGTCAAAGAGCCTTTCAGAAAATGTTGCAAGGCTGGTATTTCCTATTTCAATGATTTCTGTAGGTTGCATATGGAGACAGCCTAAATTTCCCAATATGTGATTTACCTTGACGATATGGAAAGAGGGGGATTTTGCAGTTCTTCCCAATACAAAGAACATTCTGCATATTCCTCACCCCATATTCAAGATGGTGTCTTCTTTTTAGTTTTCCTCTATTTTTGCAAAGGCATCAAAGGGTTTTAAAAAACTTGTAATTGTCCAATAATATGTGGAAATGTATTAACTGGCAGATTTTTCCACTTGTCATCTACTGTCTGTTCATCATAGGTCTCAGCCAGAGACAAAGCTCTGCAACTTTCCCAGGTAAAAATGAGAGTCACCTATTTCTTTAAAACCATAGTCTCGGGGCGCCTGGGTGGCTCAGTGTGTTAAAGCCTTTGCCTTCGGCTCAGGTCATGATCCCAGGGTCCTGGGATCGAGGCCCACATCCAGGTCTCTGCTGAGCAGAGAGCCTGCTTCCCCTCCTCTCTCTCTGCCTGCCTCTCTGCCTACCTGTGATCTCTGTCAAATAAATAAATAAAATCTTTAAAAAATAAAAAAAATTAAAATAAAACCATAGTCTCGTCACTTGTTTATAAAATAGTATCATATTTTTTTATTTAAGTCAGATGAAGCCTGAGTCTGAGAAAGTAAAGATGACAACACAACGTCACTGTGAACAGAGGCAACAACCTCTGTTTTGTTTCTGCTCGTGGACCGTCAAAGGTTATTTTTCAGAGCTTGACAGGCACATTGAAAATGGAACGCATGCCAGGAGTTTAAATTCTTTTCACAAAGAAGATTATTGTAAAAGCACATTTTGCCTTTAAACAGCATCTGCATAAAAATTTTTAGGATATGCAAAAATGTTATCACTCAATGTCAAGCCACGCAATGTGAAAATAAGTGTTCTTTTGTTCCGAGTGGGACATGTGCTTCTGTTACTGGCTACAACTGGATCTGCACAGGACAAAGATCTTTATGGCACTACTGAGAGTCTGCAAGAGTAAAGGCAGACACTTCTAAGAAGATGTTTTGCATTTAACAATCAGTCTTGGTTTTTTATTTGTAATTAATGTCACCACCAAGCTTCTTCAGTCCAGAAGCTTCTTCTCCCTAGGAAGGCATTTGAATCACAGAAGATTAGCCCTGGAACAGAGTCCGACCTGTGTGTATAATGTAAGAACAGCTAAGGACGAACAGCAAGGACTGACCACAGACTCCTCTGTAACACCAGAGCCAAAGTGAAATCCACACAGAGTTATTACATCCATTTATAATAATCAAAAAAACTCACTAGGTATGACAAAATTTAACAAAAAAAAATATTAAAGGAACAAAATACAAGCAAATCTTTAGGAATGATCATATGTTAAATAAGAACAGCAGAATGAAATGTTCCAAGCCAAGAAGATGAGCAACAAATCCATTTCCTCTGATAACCAGGGGAGGAGGAAGGTGAGGCGAGGCTGCAGTCGTGGATCGTCTTCTCAAGAAAAGGAAGGATAGTGATCAATGGCTATTAAATAAAACCTAAAAATCCATGAGAGGAGACATCCTTGTGGTTGCAAGTAAAGAACTAAAAAAGAGCTACGGTTTCTAAGTGATGTAATGGAGAGTGTGGCAGAAATAGCCTCTTCCCTCCCCTCTTGAGGTGACCCTCTGACCGTGAATTCATCTGGGCGTGAGCACATGCACATTCTCACTCGTGTTTTCTCTATTCAACTGGCATCCCCTTAGCAGGTGAGTCAGGGGCGATGAAACAGTTGTCTTCGTAGTTGTTGTGATCATTGGATTATTCTTGACTCAACCCTCAGCAAAGGCATCATCAGCATCAAGAACTAAACAGCAGCACTGTGGCCAAATTTAAGACTCCTTCAAGTGCCTCAGACCAACCTTGATTTTAGTGGAATGTCATTTGACCCAAAAAGCAACTGTCCTTGGTGGTCCATATTCCCTGCAACACGAAGCAAGGCTAAGGAACGGAGCTAAGATAGCCCTCCAAGTCAAAATCCCGTGCAAAAGAATACCACAGAATATTTAAATGGGAGCTACAGTCTTTCCCTCCTCCCATGATTTTTGGCATGGCCTGTTGCCATCCCCTCTCTCAGCAATCCCTAGTAGCTTATTCCCGATCATATGACCCCCTCATGCTTCGGCTGCTTCCCAAAGCCTATTGATTACGTCCTTTAAAAATAACCTCTCTCCTGGGGAGTGACGGGAGGATGGTGAAAGGAGAGGAGGGGGAGGTCCTGCCAAAATGTTGGAGGCAGCGAGCAAAGCTGCACTGAAGAATGCTATTTAAGAGAGGAATATGCAGTCAGAGCAGATGAATGCCTAGGCAACCCAGATCCTCGTTTCATGCAAATAGACACAGTAATTAAAAACAGTAAAAGGAAACAACAGCAAAATGTCACAATTTAGAGGCATCGGAATCATTGGAAGAAGATGTTGTTCTAGGCTTTCTTTTTTAATCCATTGCACTAAAAGTAGTTTATGGTTCTTCAGGTTCAAGGTAGCCACGTGGCCAGAAAAGTTAGGTGGTGTTGCCCATTCCTCTAACCCACGTTGAGCTCTTGAAGAGATGTTTGGAGCATTAGGTGATCACTCTGGAAACAGAGCCCGTTTATCCAATTGGCATATATTGTACACTCGCAAGGGAGTACGGAGCAAAATGCTCTGGGGAGGGAGTTTATAGATTATAAAAGAAAACACAAGGAGTCTTTAAGGAATCTTGCTACTTTATGCCAAACAATGACTTTATAAATGAGATCCAAGACTCACATGAGTATCTTACCCAGCTTCACTGGGTGGTATCAGCAATGTATTAGTTATGTTTATTGGGCATTTTTTGCGTGTTTCTTTTCAGGTTTTTTTTTTTTTTTTTAATGTGTGAGGAAATGTCAACATTGGTCCTTCCCATATAAAGGGGATACATGTCACCTCAGACTAAACTGTGTTGGAAGGGATATGCATCTATGCTGTAACAAGGACATTTCTGAATCTTTGCGGAAGAACCCATGCCATCAGTATGGGGTGTGATGTGGAATATGAGAGGAAGAGAAGAACCAATGACAAGCAGAAGGTTTTCATCCTTGGCACCGAGAAGGTAGAGTCAAAAAGAATAAAAGGTGAAAAGGCTATAGGAAAAATAGTTTCAGTGGGAGGAGTTAAGATCAGGAGTTTAATATGACATGTTGGGGTTGGGTTGCCTAATAGACAACCATGCTTGAGTTGAGTAGGCAATTGGGTATATGAGTCTGGAGTTCAGAAGTAAAGTCTGGCCTGGAAAAACACATTTGGGAATTATGAGCACCCTGATGTTAGTTAAAGCCACAGGACCAGGTGAGATCACCACATAAATGAATAAAAATAAAACAGAAAAAGGAGACTCCAAAATTGAGAGGACGGGGAGAAGAAGAAAAACCAACCAAAGACACTGAAAATGAACCATCAGTGGAGCAGGAGCAAAATAAGAAATGTGTCGTAGGCTTAGAACTCAAGTATAATAAGAACTAAAAATTGACCATTGGGTTTTGCAGTGTGGAGGTCAATGTTGACTCTGGCAAGCAGAGATTTACTGAAGTGGTATAAGGAAAAGCCTGAATTTCAATGGCTTTCCAAGAGAATGGGCAGTGAGGAATAGAGACAGCTAGTTATGCTAGCCAAAATGTACTCACACACTGATGGCAGAGATCCAGTGAGAATGAGAAATTGATGTAGGTTATTAAAAGACAATATACTCAACTCATATTAGATTCTGAATTCTTTCATTTCACTGGTGAAGCATTTGGTTTTGTTACTGGGCTGTGCTTCTCTGACTGAGACTTTTTTTAAGAGAAGGGACAACTTACTACTATACCCCTTGCTTACATATAGGGTCAACTGTATAGCAGTTCAAAAGTATGGGACTAAAGGACGATAAAGGGAGAGAAAAAGAAAAATCGGGAAGAGTAAGGAGAAGAAGGGAGGAATACAGCAAATAAAGGGAGGTAAAAGGGCAAAAATGAGGTGAGATCACAATAAATAAGAGGGGGAAAAGTACAAATATAAAGCAAAACACTACAGCTTGTCTTTGCTCTCTGCTATAAACATATGTGCATTCTTATACTTAATATGAATTATAAATATAAAATGTTATAAATTCTAAATTTATGTACTCAATGATATTTCATATTTTATTTTTCTGAAGATTTATTATTTGACAGAGATCACAGGCAGGCAGAGAGAGAGGAAAGGGAGCAGACTCCCTGCTGAGCAGAGAGCCCGATGTGGAGCTCGATCCCAGAACCCTGGGATCAGGACCTGAGCCGAAGGCAGAGGCTTTAACCCACTGAGACACCCAGGTGCCCCGATATTTCATACTTTAGAGACACCTCAAGTTAACAAAATCTAGACTGTCCTCAACTATTTCTTCCATCAATACTTTTTAAAAATAAGAAAGTGAAGGTCAAAGAACTAGAAAATGTGAACAAAAGTACTTTTTTTTTTTTTTAAAGATTTTATTTTTATTTATT